ACTCATTTCTGAGCGGTATGAAATCCTTAAGTTCTTTTGAAAGGAAATAGCTCTTTTCTGGTGATAACTTCTTACTCCTCCCACATATAAATGTAGAAAACTCCAGATTTTTATTTTACTTCACCAGAAGTAATATTGGAGTACAAATTAAAAACTTCATTTTTTTTTTTTTTTAGTTCAAAACGAAAAAAGAGTAAGAAGGAGAAAGGGAGAAAATCCTTCCCACCACCACATTTCAACTTCTTTTATTTTCTACTGAGAGAAAATTCATTATCTGATCTTTGGTTTCATTTATTTCAGTGCCTGTGCTTTGCGTTAATGGAGCTGGTTCCCACCAAGATTGTGTTCTGACAGGGTGACGGGGGCCAGGCCGGGGCGGGGGCCTTCGCTTTACCAGGAGGAAATGTGTTCTTCCTTCCATTTCCCTGCTAAGGCCAGCAGCTTGCAAGAGGGATTCGCCGCCCTCAGTTGACGTTCCTATCAGGGCCTCTGCTTTTTATGGCTGTCCCTCCGTGAGTGAGGAAAGAGAGATGGGGTGTTTCACCTGTCACGCCCCAGCTCACTGGGTTGCCACACCCACCGACTTCTACCAGAGGAGGAGCAGGGTGCCCTGGAGGTGCCCAGACTGGCTGTTCTAGACGTGGCTGTCCCCGGACTTCAGTGGGGCTGTGGCAGGGGCAGGGCAGACGATCAGGATGTGGTGGCAGCAAGGTGCATTTTAGAATTATTTTCATTGGCCCGAAGCTTACATTCTACCGTAACTCATTATAAGCAAGGCAGGAGCTTGATCAAAAACCCCATTCTTTCCCAACTTTCTTACCCCTGGAGTACTTAGTTACTGACTGCTCCCTCAACGTGGCTAACCCGGATGCCTGCCATGTGAAAAAGGACTTAAGCAGAAAGTTGATGCTAAGTGCTGCCTCAGTTGCCTTGAAAACAGTGAAACCCAGATCTGTAAAACTGGGTTTACTCACCATTGTGAGACCTCTGGAAGTGAAACATGTGCGTGGATATTTAGAGTGACTGATTTCACATTCTTTTTAAAAAAATTTTAAATTCAAGGTGGCTCACGCCTGTAATCCTAGCACTCTGGGAAGCTGAGGGAGGAGGATTGCTTGACCTCAGGAGTTCAAGGCCAGCCCAAACAAGAGTGAAGACCCCCTCTCTACTAAAAATGAAAAATTCGCCAGGCATGGTGGCAGAGCCCGTAATCCTAGCTACTCAGGAGGCTGAGGCAGGAGGATTGCTGAGCCCGGTGTTTGAGGTTATGGTGAGCTACAGTGACACCACTGCATTCTACTTGGGCGATAGAGCAAGACTCTGTCTCAAAAAAGAAAAAAAAAAGAAAAAAAAATTTTTAATTAATTTTTAGAACATAATGTCTCACCAATGTTGCCCAGGTTGGCCTTGAACATCCCTTTCCCTCCTTCCTTCTCCCTTTCCCCTCCTTCCTCCTCCTTTCCCCTCCCTTCTTCTTCCTTCTCCCTCCCTTCTCTTCCTTCCTCCTCCTTCTTCCTTCTCCCTCCCTTCCCTTCCTTGCCCTCCTTCTTCTCCTTCTCCTCCTTCCCTTCCTTTCCCTCCCTTCTTCTTCCTTCTCCTCCTTCTGCTTCTGTCTCCCTTTTCCCCTTCCTTTCCTCCTCCCATTGTCCCTCCTTCCGTCTCTCCCTCTTGCTTTCCCTTGTTTTCCCTTCCTTCCCCCTTCCTTACCTCCTTCCTTCCTTCTTCATGCAGCACCATGATGGAAAGAGGTAAGTTTTAAATGGTGACAATACTGTTGGGGTCAAATGGAAAATACAATCATAGCAACCACTTTAAGCTCAGTTGCCTGTTATTTAGAATTTGAGGGACATTCTAAGTAAACTTTTCATGGAGAAAGCCAAGGCTGACCTTTATTTTCCTGTATTTGGAGTGCTTGCAATTTCTCAAAGGTCAATTTTCTTTGCCCAAATAATGCATAGTAACATTCTACCTGCATTATTATCCTGATAGTAAGGTAATATACTGGAAATGCATTTGCCTGATATTTTTCCCGAAGACACCTTGGAGTTCACTTAAAATCTTATTTCCTTTCCCAGACACTTGTGCCTGTGGAGATTTGTCTCATGCATCTCTTGTGTTGCTTTTCTTGTACCCAGGTCTTCTGCCTTATCTAGTAGCGACATATTCGGACCTGCCCTTCATTAGGATCTCCCCGACCCGGAACCCCGTGCAGCTTCCGAGTCTCCCTTCAGCCCCCCGAACCCCTACATTAACCCTTACATGGACTATATCCGGTCTCTGCACAGCAGCCCTCCCTGTCCATGATCTCGGCCGCCGGGGGCTGAGCCCCACAGACGGTAAGACCAGACAGATTCTGTTTCCAGAGAACAAGCCACCCCCTCCCTGCATCCCTCCTGGGATGTTGTATAAAGCAAATCTAAAGTTTAGTGAATGTTTCCCATGTGCCAGACATGTGCTAAATGCTTTGCATGCATGATTTCATCTCAACAGCACACCCCTCTGTGTGGATGATATTATTGTCTCCATTTTCAGGTAAGGGTAGCAGTGTGCAGAGGGGTCAAGTGTCTTGCAACCCAGTCATCCACTCATCCTTGTATCATGAGTGGCAGAGGTGGGACTCAAAGCCAGATCTTACTGACTCCCAAATCCTTGCTCTTAACTGCTATTCTGTGCTGCTTCACGTATGATTAGACTGGCCGATAGCATTCACACATGTGCCTGAGTAACCTGAGCATTTTACTCACCTTCTGATGAGCTCTGTTCTGTGTGTGTGAGGCACATCCATGCAGACGTGTGTGTTAGAGCAGGGCCTTCGCGAACGTTAATGTGCATGCGAATCACCCGGGGGGGCCTGATAAAATTCGGTTCTGCATCAGATGGAGCCAAGTGGGCCCTGAGATTCTGTGCTTCTAAAAACCTGCCTGGTGATGTTAGTTCTCTTGGCCCGTGGATTACACCCTGAGTGTGCAAGGTCTTAGAAAACATGATGGCCCAGACCTGTTGCATGTGCTATGCCAAATGAATACTAGAAGAGAGATGTAATGAAAAAAGAAATGAACTCAGACTTTATTTCTGTAATGCTTGATGCTCAGTTTAGACTCTCAAGTATCAAATTCCTGTTGGTTCTCTTAGCCTCCCAATTAACTACTTTTCGCATGACTCTTCTTAATTAGAGCTATGTATTCACCATTCTTTTGATTCAGGAAAAGAATTTTACATCTCATGCACACATATACAAATTCACCTGCCCACATTTGCTGGAATCTGAATTAAGATCCAGAATTGCTTTAGCCTTATTAATTGTAGGTAGAGGGTTGTGAGTTCTTTGCAACAGTCATAAGTCGCCGATGCTTGTTTCAGAAAAAAAGACAAACACCATGCACCTCACTTCATTCGGGAATGCTTGATGTGACTTCTGTGCACAGTCCACATTCTCCATGCCGACTGCTTCCTGAGGCTGGCTGAGCATGGTGGGAAGCTGCACGAAGTTTCTTAGGAAACATCCACTCAGTTGAATATCCAGGCGTAGCTTTCCTCCAGCAATAGCCGCTGGCTCGGTTTTTTTCTTCTGATCCAGTGCAGTGAATACACTTGTATCTAAGGAATATGTTTTGCTCTTTGGGCAAGATTCACATTTTAAAAATAAAACTGTAAAAATCAAATAAGAGTTAGTTCTACTTTAGATTTGATCTCATAATGGGAAAACTGGAGCGTCTTCTCCTGGGAATGCTTGGGAGTTGGTAGAAATGACTAAGAAGGACAACATAGAAGGAAAGGGAAGCTGGCTTAACAATGGACTTGGTATTTTGCCTGGTTTTTGGAAATCTTTTTGGGCCAGTGGAAAGTGGTCCCTTCAGTTAAGCTATTGAAAAGCATGTTTATCATTTGCTTCCATAGCATTTGATGATGAGTATGAATGAAACATTCTTTTTGATGAGTTGATCTGACTACTTTTCCCTGTTTCTCAAGAATCCAGTTAATATAGGCAAATACAGTAATATCACTGATATTTCTGCCTTGTGGTCTAAAAGGTTTTTTTCCCCCCTTAAACCTCTCTGTTTACCATGTATCATAGGTAAGAAGTATATGAACACAAATATAAAACATCCACAGACCTATTGCTAGAGTGCTGGTGTTTCCTAATTGTAAAATTAACTTCTTTTGATCAAATGCCGTGTGCTAAGTGTTTTACCTGCATCATTTCATGTTTTGCTCTCAACAACCTCATGGAGCTGCTGTAAATGCAGATCTCTGTGAATCTGGAGGCCACCCTCAGAACTGCTACGATATCTTCTTGCTGCTTCTGCACATAAATTGGCAGGTGGAAGCTGATTATTATCCTACCCTTAGAAAGCTGACTCTTGCCATTAAATTGCTCCAGATTGATAGGTATATATATTTTTTTGATTTTTGTAATGAAAAAAAGGAAAAGAGAGCTTTTAAATTATGAAATGCAAAATTGCAGCTTATCATTTAGTTGTGTGTGATTAAAGCTGTGCTGCCTTTTTTCCACTTTTTAAACTGTAACTCCTCATGTTAGTGAGAGTTAACTCAGACACTCTTATCAGAAGGCTTAGGAAGGTATTTTAAGTGTGTCTGGAAAGATACCATAGTCGTGCAAGTTGTCTGCTGTTGCAAGAAATGTGAACACAGGATGATTTCATGTAAGAAACTATCTTATTTGGGGAGGTAAACATGGTTAGGTACATATATACATTTTAATCATTCTGAATTCTTGATGATTTATTTAGACCAGTATCCAAAACCGTGTAATATATATTTCACTTTATTTTTTTCCTTCAGTTTTATTTTTAAATAAAAGATGTCTAAAAGACAACGGGTGAAAGCACAATTTCAGTTAAAGGAGCTTTACTCTAATGAGCTGTAAAAGGAATTGCTGACGTAGGATGCATGGGAAGTGGGCTTTGGGATGCCTCCAGGGAAGCTTCTTGTTGACTTCTTCTGACTAGTAACTATACCATTCTTATCTCCTCTTCTAGCCTCGCACCCTGGGGTCAGCCCAGCGGAATACTATCATCACATGGCTCTGTTAGCCGGCCAGCGCAGCCCCTATGCAGACATCATTCCCTCGGCTGCCACCGCCGGTGCCGGAGCCATCCACATGGAATATCTTCATGCCATGGACAGTAAGTGGCAGGGCTGTTTTCTGGAGTCCTGGGGAGTGGCAACTGCCAGTTTACAAAACGGGAAAATACAAAGATTTAGGCGATTGTTTTAACTTTTCAATCCTGAGGAGGAAGCAGAACCACCACAATTTGGTGCTCTGGTTCCCTTGGTTTTCTAGAAGCATCCACAGATTGGGACATCTTGGGCCTCCTTGTTGAGCTTAAGGATAGCAGTGAACTTGCAAATGTAGGCGACTGTAATCTGACAGCAGTGTATGAATACAACTGGTCAGAAAGCTGTCTCGTGCTGACTGTCTTGCTAACAAAATGAAGGGAACAGATTTGATATATGGATGGACTTTGTACACTCACTCCTTGGTTTCATGGAATTTATGCTTCAAAGTTAGTTTTAAAAAACACTTGTTGGTTTTACATTTTTATATTAAATGATTTATTTTGCCCTATATGTTTTCTTTACATTAAAAATCATATTTCACTACAACCTTTTATAGCTGTTGAATATGTGAAGGGATCGGAATAGTTACATCTAGTAAATAAAAACTGTTTCCAAATCAGAAGGGGCTACTTTTAGTAGCTAGCAGTGAGAGAAAATTGGGTCTTTTTTTTTTTTTTGAGACAGAGTCTCACTCAGTTGTTCAGGCTAGAGTGCTGTGGCATTAGCATAGCTCACAGCAACCTCAAACTCCTGGGCTCAAGCAATCCTTCTGCCTCAGCCTCCCGAGTAGCTGAGACTACAGGCATGCGCCACCATGCCTGGCTATTTTTTTCTATATATATTTAGATTGCCAATTAATTTCTTTCTATTTTTAGTAGAGATGGGGTCTTGCTTTTGCTCAGGCTGGTTTTGAACTCCTGACCTTGATCAGTCCACCCACCCGGGCACTCCCAGAGTGCTAGGATTATAGGCGTGAGCCACCGCACCCAGCTGAAAATGGGGTCATTTCATGTATGTTATATTCCTTATTTTGGGATTCTAAGGCGTATGATGATTACTTGGTGTTACTTACTTAGGTGCATAGGCAGACTGTCACTGCCTTAGGCAATGACTGTCACTTATCAGAGCATTCCAGGGCTGTCCTCTCTTCATGGCCTTTCAGTACACATCCCTTTGCGAGATGCCAGGAAGTGAACCTGAAGCGTCATCCAAGTCATACATCAATGAGTGCCACTACCTTTGGATATGACAAAAATATGACTTTGAGTAGGGGATTTGCTTGGAAGTTTGTTTTTCCTAGTAGCAGGATTAACTTAAGTGTTTCCATTTGCAGTTTGTTAGGCTTCTGTGACAGAGGGTTGCATTTATGTCAACTCCCTAGTAATTCAGTCCTGAGGTTTGGAATAGAGAGAAGGAGATTTGTTCACAGGGGCAAAAATCTGCAGCCTTGGTCTCCTTACCACCAAGAACTAGTTTAGCATATTCCGTAGGAACACATGTTTTCACTGGTTTCCATTGGGGAGCTCATTACCACACAGAAAGTAAAAGAAATTGCATCTTCTTGCAGGGGTTTTGTTGTTTGGCTTTGTAGAGTAGAGAGCTCACATCTCAGATTCATCATGACCACATTTCAATTAGTGATTGTTGAAAAAAAAAAGTTCAGTGTTATTATGCAAATTAGTTATTTAAAATCTGCAAATAAAGAATTGAAATAAGAGAGAATCTTTGGAAGGTCAGCCCACATTACTTTCCCTGTTTGATGAGAATGTGTTTAGTCAGGCAGTGGCGGTTTTTATCTAAATAAAGGATGAAGCTACCTTTTTACTTTGTAAAAACTAATTAAAGGAATTTTAATTTGCCTGAGTATATGGTAAATTGATTGTCATTAAGTAGGAATTTAGATGTCCTATCATTCATCACATAAAAAGAAACCTCCTTTTTCTTTGTCAGAATTTCTTATTAGAATAGAGAAACAAAACAATTAACAGAAAGCCAGATTGGAGATATATGCGTTGGAACAATAAGCAGGCTCTGGCTTCTATTTAAGAAGGAAGTGGTATGATCAGTGAAGAACTGGCTACTTCTCTTTCAGCTGTTTTGACGGTGCTCATTTGTGTTTTAGCAGCTCCCTTCAACGGGGGATCCCAAATCACTGTCCCAAAATGCTGCCGTTCTTTTCTTTTGCTTGGTTATTAGGAAGTTGGGAAGAACATATCGAAGGGTTGGAAAGTTCTTGAAGCACTATATTCTTTTCCTCTAAAGTAACTAAAATAGCATTTAGTTATTTTATTGAGACAGAACATCAGAAGATGAGCCCCCATCTCCAGTGGGGAAGTGAAACCTTCATTTTAATTCCTACATTGGATACACATCTGCAGTGGCAGATCCAAAACTGGGATCTAGCTGGTCAGTCTGATCATTGTTACAAAAATATTCGGTGTCCTCGGTTAGCAGGAAGCTTTGTGTAAGAGGATTCAGGTAAGCACCTGACTTTTAAATGTTCCAACAGTGGGCCTATCCGAATATCAGCAAGATGTAGGTTAGAGTAATTTTATCTAGCCCATTAGCCCAAACTAGTCTGTTCGTGGCTCTACTTCTACCTCCTGGGATTAGAGTGACCTTAAAAGATACAAGAGCAAGTAACCCCTATAAGGACCATCCTAGAGATGAGGGCCCCTGAGAACCACACTGTTCACATTGGTGGAAACTGACTTAAATAAGGTCCAGTCTTTAAGGAAAAAAACAGAGAGAACTTCCCATCGGGCCATGTGCAACCTGAAGGGTTCTATGGAGGGGAGGAGAGGTACTGCAGGGCCCCTCGCTCTGTCTTTGAATGATGGGAAGGGCATATAAGGCCTCAGGTGTTTGACAGCACCAAATGGCCCCCTTATCTGTGCATCTCTGCTAGTTAGTGATATAAAAAACTAGAGATGTTCCAGGAACTTAAAAAATTAGAGAGATACCCGTTCTACTGGTATGTAGCATGTGCCATCACTTCTAACTCTGCCAGTGATTCCCATGGAGAGAGAGTCCCATGGAGAAGGAGTATGTCCAAGGATTATATGGAAGTCGACAATAAATCTGGTTTTGTCTTTGGAATTGTTTGGAAGTGGCATGTGTTTCTTCACTAAAAAACTTCTATGATGAAATTAGCCACCGATAGTGAGTAAATGTGAAACAGTTGTGTTTAGGGCAGATGTCATAATAAAAGTAAGATGCTGCTTTAAACACCTAAAAATAAGTACATAAGTGGGGTTGCTATTTTGTGTTAAGGTGCCCTACCTAAGTCAGGCTGGTAATGAAACTATTCTAAATGAAGGAACTCATTTTAAATATACCTGAAAGAAAAATTTGAGTAGGTACCACATTCATCACTCAAATTGTTTTTCCAGTTTTATACATGGATGGTACTAACTTATTAAATTCCAGGTTGTGGTTTATTCTTTAAATTATTTCTGTAATATTGGCAATAAAGTCTTTCATATTCATCTATCCCATTTCATTAAATTATCTCAGAGCCTGTTGGATTGTTACCTTGTGTCAAGGTGCATCTCTGTGGAAGAAAATACTCCCAGTGAATTTTCTGGAGCCTGGACTTTTTCCTATAAAGGCTTACCTATGACTTTGGTTTTCTGGCTACTGCAAAATTGCCATGTCCCTGTAAACTGGTATACCCATGCTATGAAATAGTAGAAACCTTCCCTTTTTACTTAAAATTAATCATGTTTGGTTTGCCTCTTACCTAGCAGGGTTATGTTCTCATTCTTTCATTAAACTTCAGTGTGATGACTCTTTAATGTAAATGTGACCATCGAAAAGACAGAGTGGACCTGTGGGCCACATTTATCTCTCTGCCCTGCAATTCAGATCTCTTAATATCTACCAAATTTGAATGCAAATGGACATTTAATTTTTAACTCTTCAGGTTAAAAACCATTGTATTAAGTTGGCATGCATTTAAGTTTGCATTACTAACCTCTCGATTAGAACTCCCATCAGTGGAATCTTTTTGAAGGCTAAAAATTCTAATAAATGCATTATGTTATTAGTTCTGACTGGAGCAGCAAGGTCCAGAGAAGAATTAAAACGCCCTATAGGCTCATCAGATCTCATTATCATGCTTATAGGTGTTCCCCCCCTCCACCCTGCCCCAGAAATATCTGTAAACAAACAACAGCCCAAGGTTTTAAATATTTCTTCAAATTTATGCTCTTCGATTATGGGAAATTTCGGGCAGGGGTCCTCAACCTCAGTGCTCCTGGGGCCACATAATTCTTTATTGTGGGGGGGAAGAGTTGCCCTGCTCATTGTAGGATGTTCTGCAGCATCCCAGCCCCTACCCCCTGGATTCCAGTAGAGCCCCCTTAGTTGTGACAACCACAGTCTCCAGATGTCGTCAAGTGTCCCCATGGGGAAAAACTGCCCCCAGTTGAGAACTACTGATTTGGGGTAATGTATTTATAAGTTGTTTTAGTAAGGCGTTAAGTATACCACGGAGCAGATCTCCAGAAATCATGGGTAGATGAGGGTATAACTAAGCTGAATTTTTTTTTTTTTATCTTAGGGTATTTTAATTCATTTCTTTCCGTCGGCTCATTGCCTTAAAACGGTTATGTTGGGGTGGGGAGGGTGGTGCGAGGTAACTGTGGGAACCACTGTCTTTGTCGCTTGTGGTGAATTAATGATGGGAATATCTAAGCAGCCGTCAGATTCATAAATCACAAGAAATGAGAAGGATAACACATAAAAGTCTCTCCCTTTTGTTTAGCCATTTATCATTTTGCCTGCACATTAATAAACAGAGCTCCCCCGAGGTAAGCCCCTAGAAGATAAATATTTCTCCCTAATTTCCTCAATTGTAGCTAGTAGATCACAAGGGGAGGAGAGGTGCTTGTCACCACAAGTTGCTGGCTTTTTCTCCTTCCCTTCTTCCACACCAGCAAGTAGCAATAAATAATAGGTAAAGAGTGCAACTGCCGGTGATCAGGCTCTGCTTTGTTTATATCACAGGCACCAGATTCCCCAGCCCCAGGCTGTCAGCCAGGCCGAGCCGAAAACGTACACTGTCCATATCACCGCTGTCGGATCATAGCTTTGACCTTCAGACCATGATAAGGACGTCTCCCAACTCCTTGGTCACGATTCTCAATAATTCCCGTAGCAGCTCTTCAGCAAGTGGCTCCTATGGTCACTTATCTGCAAGTGCAATCAGGTATGTATTTTCCTGAATCCATTATGTGATGTTTTAATAAAATGTCAGCACTTGACTGCACCTATAGTGATGCATTTTCAGTATGTACGGACTGGCTATGAGGAAGACTAAAACAGCGTGATGCGGTGCCTCTACCAGGATACAGGTCAAGTATCACAACAATGAATTGCAAAACCAGTGACTGAGCCCAAAATAAATTCTTTTGCAGACGTTAGTCAATAGCCCATGTATAGGACTAGCAGTGATTCAGTTATGAAGAAACCCACTTCTTAGAGACAGTGAGTACGGCAAATCTTTTTTATCTGGCCTCTTCTCTCTGATATTAGTCCTCTAGAGAAAAAGTGACTTCATACCTGGTTATGTGACCACATGTACAGAACAGGAACAGAAATAAAAAGACCAGTCATGACAAAAGTCTCTTCCCACAACTGTTAAGGAAAAAGAGTTCATTGGGAGGAAGAAAGAAACAGCAGGGTTTTTAGGCTAATGGAAAATAAATGAAGATGACATTGGAAGGCATAGTTACCAGAGGAAATCTAGCAAGAGAATATTTCCTTGTTTTTCTATTAAGTAGTTTTGCCTTCATTTGAAAGATCTCCATTTTGACCATCTGTCTTTGCTGTAGACTAGTAGCATTTTGACACTTCTTACATGAAGTGCATCGTGTCTGTACTTTCATGGGAAGGTACAAACACAGACTTTTGTAAACATTAATATGAAATCTTACTGCTAATGATCAAACTTGAACAGATATCAGTAAGTAGGGAATAAAAGTAAGCTGACTTACGAGTTTTAGGTATATTCACACTGCTTTTGTCAGCTAGCCATTTATTATTTGACCTAAGCTAGCTCACAAATGGTTATGATACATAGAATTTGATAGTATTCTAATTAATTAAGCAATCGTGGTTATAAACTTTAGCTCTTATTTCCCCTAAATTTTTGCCAGCAATTTAAGAATTCAGTCACCGGGGCAATTTTTTTGAATTATAGTTTTATAAGCCACAGATAATTCCTTGATTTAAATGTACATACTAATGGCTGCTTCACTATACTATTTTTAATAAGTGAGGTTTACTTGTTTGTTTATGAATGGGCAGTGGCTTAAGTTGTTAAGTGATGGGTCTTCCGTGGTAGCTATATATATTAGGGAAACCTCATCGGTCCAGAAAAAAAACTGTTAGCAGTAGTAACAGACCCACATTTACTAGAAATAATGAATACTATTGTTTTTCCATAGTGTTCTCCATTATAGTTTTAATTCTTTTCTTGTTCAATTATCAGCAATATTTCTTGGCAGATGAGTTAGTGTTTAAATGTTATAAATCCTAATTTTGATACAATGTCATCTTCTGCTGCTTTTCTTTGTTCTTTTCCTATGGTCCCTAAAGCGTGGGAACGTAGAGAGAGGTTAACTGTGCTCACATGATAGCAGTCAGTACACAGAGAGGGGCCCGGGGTGTTTTCCAGTATAGCCTCTGTCGTCACAAAGGTAGGTTTTGCAGCTGGACATGTCTCTGGTCTGATTCCAGCTTTGCCACCAACCAACTGGGCAAACCTAACTTGCCCTTCAGCTCTCTTAAGTATAGCCTTCGCATTTGTAAGCTACAGATAGGACACCCAGTGTGTAGGGAAAAGGCATGCTTTACTGACGTCGGTGTGGATCTGCAATGGCAGGATGAGATCCTAACCCTGGGCAAAGTCTCAGGAGAACTGACCTGGGATGGTCCATCCAGGAGAGGGGCTGCCACGGGCCTGGCTCTGCTACACTGGCGACCATACCATCCTTGTCTGGCTCTGAGGAAGTACCACCAACCTCAGAACCACTGCCTGGCTGTTCCTACACTCCTGGCAAATATTCTCAGGTCCTTGTGCAATTATTATGTGGCTTAACTAGAAGTCACAGCAGAACCATGGCGCACGCAAATATTCATGCCAATGACACCCATACAAAATCACTTTGTGAACACTCATTTCTCTTGCTTCTCTTTAATTTTTCTTCCCTCTTGCTCTCTGCCCAGCTTTCTTGACTTTTCACAGCATCTAAATGACATAGATTAGAATAAAGTACTCAAATGGTCATAGCGCTGTCTATATTTATTCTTACCCCAGCATCTTTGCTGACTTCTTGGTCTCCTCACCTTTACCTGGGTAAGCTGGTACTTGAGAGGCTGTCAATATCCTGACTTCAAATAATTGCTGCCCCTTCTTCCCTCCAAAGAGTGACTGCATCCAACCCCTTTATTCTCATCAGAGGTGGAAGAAAAGATTTACTTTAAACACCATCCAGGTCTGAAGAGACCCTGTGGGGTGACCAGGGCCCATCAACGCTCATTTTCTTTCTTGCCTTTGAGCCTTTCCATTGCATCCTCCCTCTACAGTGTGGTCCCTTCCTCTGTAATACACATCTGCTGAATATCAGGATAATGTGTTGCATCTAACCCACAGAAGGTAATACAGATAACCCAAGATGAAAGCAGCTTGCCAAATAATATGGCAATTATAATCGTGATCATTGGCACCACTTGTCATTTCATTAGCTGGAGAAACAGTGGTGCTTTGCTTGCCCATAGGATTTTAAGTTTCATTCTGTGAGATCTAAAAACTGACTTCAGAAATAATCAATGGTAGGACTGGTGGGTGACAAGGGAAGGAAAGAAGCAAGAAGAAGACAGCTGGAACAGGTAGCTGACTTAAGAGTGAAAGGTAAAGGAGAGAATGTGGATTTCAGGTGCGATTAATCCCTGCTGGGTAGCAGGGCAGGCACGAGGCTCACTCGCTGTTCTCATGTCCCAGCAATTTGGGGAAGCAAGTGGTGGTATTCTTGTTTTATGCATAACCCAGTGGATCTTTGCAAGATGAAGCTGGCGAAGTCCCGTGCCCAGTGGGCATCTGCGCCAGCGTGCCCAACCCTGCTTGTTAATTTACCCCAAACACATTTGACTTTCACGCTTACATGATTTCTTACACCTAACTTGCTGTTAGTATTGGCATTGCATAGGCTAATGATGTCGTTTAAGTTTCTAAAGATGTTATTAAATGTTTAAAGACACTTACCCAGTTTTCTAAGAAATGCCATGGCTGTGTTCTTCACATTCATGCCCTAGTTCCAATGCTGTTCTCAGAGAGGCCTGTAGTAGTGTTTACCAGTATGTGAAATTTCCGTATTTACTTGCTGATTTAGCAGTTGGCTGTTTCCCTCCAGCAGAACACAAGCACCAGGAAGTTAAGGGCTGTGTACATCTTGTCCCCATCCCTACAACACCTGCGTCCTCACACATTGACAACATTCGGCAAATAGTTCCTCAATGGATAAGTTAAGGAGCTCTTTCATCAGTAATTAGAATGCTAATTACCCCTTTACTAAAGGAAGTTTCTACATGGTAGATGAATAATTCTAGTTTTCTGAAAGTTACAGTCTATATTAATGTTGTATTGCATACCTACAGATTAACAGGTATGTAGAGGTAGAGACAGAGGGATAGATATAAAATAAAGGGTTAAAAATCAAATGTCTAGCTTAGGTTTGTGTATGGTTCTTGTGCTTATATATTTCCTTAATAATTCAGACTGCTAAGAAAACACCATATAAAACAAGTATTGATTCACAGAAGCCCGTTGGAAGAGATGGTGTTTAAAATGACTCATCTTCCTGTGGTCTTTCAGCAAATGTAAAAAGAGTGAAAAAAATGGGTAACCCACTCATTTCTAACCCACCAGGTATAACTGTCTCCCTTTTGATTTTAATGGCTAAAATGAAGATAGTTTCATATCCTCAGTAGTGTTAGGTCTGGCATGGCCAGGAAAGATGCCTCAGTGAAAATGACATTTCCATATTCCACATCACCCTCTGAATGGGGTGCATAGATCTCCAGCCTCACAGGTCAGTGCAGGTTTTTATGTTGCCAACAAGATGACCAGAGAGCAAGTTGTGTTTTCGTGCATCATCAGCCCTCTCCTGTCGGCAGGACTCCCCGGGGGGAGGATATATCTTGCAGGTCCACCGATGCTGCCTAAGGCAGGGCAGAAACCAGCGCAGCCTCCACGGCTCCTTGGCTCTGTGCTGAGTAAGCACCTTGTTCATGTCATAGAAACATCACAGCAGTGAACTGAGAAACATTGAAGAATACATATGCGCCAGATTACCAGTGTCTTTAAAACTCTCTGATTCTGAAAATTATGGGACAAACTTCTCTTCCCTCATTATCAGTGGAAGTAATTCATACTGCCTTAAAAAGAGAGTTCTCATGCACTTCCTGATGTGGTAATTGGTTTTATATGGCATTTCATTTAATCAGTTAGTCATTCCCCAGATATTTAGCTGAGGTTAATTGTGTGCTAGTCACTGTGCTAGGTGTGGGGGCTACCAGAATGACCCTGACCTTCAATACCCACAGAAGAGCAAAGCCTGAAAGCAGATACGAATGAATGAATGAATCAACAAATGAATGAGCGAGCAAAGGAACTTGCAAGGATTCTCGCTGGTGCTGTATAGAACGACATGTTAGGATAGAATAGCAGGTGGGCTGGCCAGAGACCAGATATTAGGAAAGAATAGCAGATATTAGGAAAGAATTTCCTTTCCCAGATATTAGGAGAGATTAGCAGGTGGGCTGGCCAGAGACCTGTAGGAGGATGACAGACCACCAGGGGAAGAGCTTTCTCCAGCTTTCTAAGAGGGCTGAGCAGGGGAAGGCCCTGAGATGGGACGTGTAGGGCGTTTGAGAAACTGTCAAGCCGACCAGGGCACCAAGGACAGTAAACAAGGGGCAGGTCAGCCCAGGCACCAGGTTGGCGACATGGGGCAGGGGCCAGGTTATAGCACAGTGTCTTGGACCAGTGATCTAAGACCTATAGGAAGCCTTGGAGGCTCCCAGTGAGGCCGGTTAATCTTACAGATGAGGAAACTGATGCTCAGAGAGGTTAGTGGGCTGAATCAAGGACACTCAGCTACTTATGTGACAGAACCATGAATTCAGAATGGTTGTTCTGACTCTGAA